AAACATTTAAAAAGAAAAAAGTTTACAATTAAACAGGTCGTATGTGCTCATTTTTATTAAATAAATATTCTCAGCTGTTATGTTATCAAGCTGCTGTGTCACCAGTCAGCGTCTATTGTTGAAGATTGTTCAGTATCTGTCTGTGGGCGGTGGAGCTGCGCGGGTGGGTCAAACATTATCATGCAGGCCAGCTATTCACAGCTGATAAACCCAACTGTTTAATGATGCTGGCACTGCCCAGTTGTGCCTCATCCAGAAGCCACTTTAGCACTTTTTATGGTCTAAATTCTATCAACTCTGGGCAAATACTGCATAACTTTAATTTATCAGGCTGCTGTTAAGTTTCAAATTCCTACTAAGTATTTATAATGTGATTAACTTAGAACCACCATAATTGAAATCACTGCCTTGGTGTAATGGACAGCGTTATTAGAAGACACCCTTCAAGTGAAGAAATATGCAGATTTAGAGTTGTATAGCCATGTCATGTTACACGCGTTTAAGTAATAAATACCATCGACTGCTAAAGTAACAGAGCTAAAAAGGCTTATTCTCTGATCTATAACAAGAACAAAAGAAGCTCATAACACCAAGCATAACACCATTGTAAGTATTTCATTCTAAAACACTATAGTGCGGTCTTGTGTGTAATTCAGTTAAAGATGGTAAAGTCAAGCTTTCACTTGCTGCAGTCTTAACTGGTGTGCACTGACCTGATTTCTCTCTTTGGTTTCTCAGTAGGAGAAGTGTCTGCTACTCTTCTTAGTCTTTTGAGTCTGTTGGACCGACTTGGACAGACTTTTAAATTTTGTGCTGTTGTTTTTTTTCTACCAATAAAGTTATTTATATCAAGCTGTGTTATGTACTGAGTATGTATTTCTTCACTGTGGAGAGTGACGCTAATACACACTTCTACACAGAGAAAAGACAATGGAATCACTGGCCATTTAACAAGCTTATAGGGCCACTCCACCCATTTTATACTGGATTCCTCGTGCTGGGCGGCTTGCACAATACTGGTATTGGGAATCAAAGCTGTAGAGACAGAGAGCTGCAGACCAAAAAGACATCACCTGAAATTCACATTAACAATATCATGTAGTTCAGTCAGGTGTTTCTTTCTGATTTGCATGCTGCATTTTAAATGTGACATTAACTTTAAGGTTTAAGTGGCGGCTTTAGCTATAAATTACATTGTAAGTGCTGTAAGTGTGAATTTGGACTTTTTAGATGTTTACAAAAATGTGTTACATTAACAAAGAATTGTAGCCACAACACTTCACATCAGCAGCTCCTGTATAACATAACTTGAGTATAAATTATTACAGCTGATGACCTTAAATGATGATATCAGAGCGAAACAAACAGATGTTTCAGAGTACCATCTTTTGACCTTCATAACATTGAACATTGAGTCATATATGTACTGTATGTGCCTTTTTTTTTTTGTAAATGTTGCATATCTTTTTGAAGTAATGAGGATACTCCCCATGCTGGTGTATTTAATTTCTCTGTATAGTAGGAGCTTCAGCTAAAGGCTCACTTCAGGGATGTTTTATCTTCATCTTAGTTTAATATACCTATTTGGCATGTTTTCTGGCCTATCAGCCAAATATTTGTACAAATCAAACTACTGATCTACATGAGGCTAAAGATTCGTTAAAGCAGTTACAGCTCTGAAACCTGCACAAAACTTTCACAACAGTCCAACAGAGACATTCTGGTCTTAGCAAAAAGTCTCAGTTTCAAGCTGGTAAAGCTCACAGGATTAATCCTCTTGGGGCCATGCGCGTTTCTGCATGCGTGTTTCTACAGTGTTTCCATTTAAAGGCTACTACACCAGAACCTGTTAAACAGGTTTTTCCTGTCCAACAATTCACAGCCTCTGTCACACACGCAGTTTGGATTTCTTTCTGTGCTCCTCTGTTCCAGCACAGTAGAGGAGGATAACATAAATAGATGCTCAGACAATAATAATAAAAAACCGCTGGCTGGACAAGTGTACATTCCCAGGATGCTTTGTAAAGTTTTCTTTACATTTTAAATTCAAGAGTTTGGAGAAATGCAGTGTGAGCTGTGTGGACAGTGATCAGTCACACTGAAAATCACAGATGGATGCTGATGCAAATTTTATGTTCATTTAAATGACACTTGTTACTTTCAGTTTGTTTTACGAAATCACAACTAAAACTTTGTGAATTGTGGTTTAGCCCAGTTTGGGGTAAAGGTTTGTAGCTCAAATGTCTTGTTTTGTGTATGCTTGCATGTCAAACCTCAAACTTTATTTTCAGGCATTTTTGGATAAACAATTTTAATCTTTTTCCACGAGCTGGGTAACCGGGGGCGGCCGTCACGATTACTTTTTATGAAACTTTTTTTGTGTTTAATTCTAACAGATGGATGATCACAGTTCGACAAGAGCCTTGTCCTTTTTCTCCAAGGTAATGCTATTTTCTATTTCTGTTATGCACGTTTATCTTGGTTTACATGCTTCAGTCCAAGCCGAACACTGATCCTCACCCGACGTCTTTGTGTATGCTGCGCATCATTAGATGCAGATGGCTAACCTGGTTGATGTGGATGCATCAGAGGAGGATAAGATCAAAGTTATGATAAATCAGTCCATCTATGACCCCATGAAGTGAGTCATGTATCCTCACACTGTCGAGTTTCCATCTCTTAAACTCTTCTCGTGTTCTCATATCTCTCTTTACGTCTTCCTTCTTTATTGGTTGATGTCCTTTTTTACATTACACATTCTCACTCGGCTCTTCCTATTATTCTCCAGTTTAAACACAAAACCCAGCAATGTCCTTTCTGCGAATTACACCTGTTATCGCTGTGGAAATCCAGGACACCACATCAGGAACTGTCCTTCCAGCGGGGTAAGGCCATAATGTATCTGTTAAGTGACTTAGCTACTTGTACAAATCGTGAATTGAAAAATAAACCTGGGTGAGTATAGAATGTAGAAATGTATAATTTCTTTGAGTGCTGGTAGTGTTTGCGTATTCACGTGTACTTCAGATATCTGTAATGCTTTTCCTGGATTTCTGTTATATTTATTATTTAGCCAGCATATTAAAAACGGCCAAGGTTCCAGATAATGAGATAAGCACATGTGCAGTTTCTTTTTCTATTGGCTCCATATTACGTCAGCGAGTTATCCTAATATGGTCATCTTAGTGAGATACCTTTGGCTTCACCCATCTGCTTTTCAAACCTTCAGTTTGCAAGGATGAGGCAATCAGAGTATCTTGTTTCAGCTAGAGGATTCATGGCTGAGGATTTATTTAACATGTCAATCATGCAAAGCTAGTCTACCAGACAAGAAATTATTTTTTTTAAATATAAAGCTGGAATGTGTGCCTTTAAATGTAGATGTTTCTGTCTTTGACAGCAGGATAAAAACTCTGAGGCACCTGTGAGGATAAAGAAGAGCACGGGCATCCCACGTTCCTTCATGGTCGAAGTGGATGATCCCAACATAAAAGGCGCCAAGCTGACCAACTGTGGGCGCTATGCAATCCCTGCCATAGATGCGTGAGTGTAAATTAAAGTGTTATTGTGTGTGTTTATTAATGTTTCTTTTGTTTGACAGTTAGGAAATGCATTTATTTACACTTTTTTTTAGAGTTTGCCTTCAGAAATGCATTTATTATTCGTGGCATAGATTGAACAAGGTAATGGAAACATTCCTCAGAGATTTGTCCACGTTGACATGACAGCATCACATTAGGTTGCAGATCAGTCGAATGCACTTCCATGATGTGAATCTGCTGTTTGACCACATGCCAGAGGTGTTTTACTGGATTGTGTGAGCTCGTTGTCATGGCTAAGAAAACTGTTTAAGTTCATTTGAGCTTTGTGACAAGGTGGATTATCCTACTGGAAGAAGCCATCAAAAAATGGGTACACTGTGGTCATGACAGACATGGTCAGCAATAATATGGAACAAAGCAACTATACTTAAACAAATCTCACTTAATACACCA